TTCTATTTATTTCTATTACTTATAATTTATTTAATTTTGCTACGAATTTCTGTATTTCATTTAATTTTAACTCTAAGTTACATTTCCTTGGTTTATTATAGTTTTTGCCTTTGTTATATACATTTTTATATTTATTTATTTATTTTTTATTATTATTTTTTTTATGGTATTGTATATATGGTATGAATGTGCCTCACTCAGCTTTAGTACTCAGTGCCCTTAAGTGTGGCAAAATGTATCATTTCTCAATAACCAGATATATAAAAAAAAAAAGAACATATTTTATTAGTTAAAAGTTTAAATTTTTCACGTTACATTTTAGTGAGACTAATTTCTAATAACTACTGGGTCGGTATATTGGAACCACAAACGTCTTTGGGTAAAAGAGATATTAAAAAAAAATTAAAAATAAAGCATTACCCACACCTAAGATGTAAACAGCAGTATTTAGACATTAAATCATACAAAGAATTTCTGTTTAATAAGAGAACAAATAAGAAAAAAAGATACAGGTATTATTTACAATTATCTTATCTGGTAAAAAGAACGTGTTTAACCAACAGAAAAAAAATAGAACAGAAAGAATGAAATGTATTTCATTATCAAAATTTCATAGTAGCACAGAACCTAACCATAAATTTTATGGATCGTAAATCAAGGAAACGCATCCATAAAATCGATCAATAAAGCGATGAAACTGAGGCCGTAAAGGCTGGTGCCTATAGAGGCACATTAGAAGGGACATTTCCTAACAAACATTAAGTGAATGATTCATTGACGAGCGAGCTGTGAGATACTTGATGAAGATAAGCGGGGGCACCGGGTGACGCTGTCCTAATATAAAAAATTGCAAGCGTCTTCCCCACCATCGGTTGGTGGAAATACCCAGCGAAATATTATTTCTAAACCATTATTAGAGAAAAAAAAGCTTTCGATTCGGATGTTCGTAAATTTGTGAAATAATATTAATAAAAATAATAATCTACAATATAATATGGTTTTTCCGCTCTCAGGAGCGATGGATTTTAATTAATGAGCCATCAAACGAAAGGGAATTTCATGTAGAAGTGACGAATCTCAATTTCATAACATACAACTTTATATTCCGTGGTACCCTTATACCCTTTTTTTTATACCCTTTTTATCAAATTATTAAAATCCGCCTGAAACTTCGTAAATAGCTTCATCTCATCATAACCTACAAATATTTTATTTACGAAAACTCATGGAATTGAGGCGTTTTCTATCTGTAGGTCGGCAAACTTTGTCTATTTAATTAGGTACATTAAACTAGTAAATACTCATTTGCTTTTCACTTCAACCTTAAGATAATTTGAGCACACAATCGAGAAAAAAGGTGACCTTCAAAAATATTGTAGTGACCTACATTCCCAAAATGTCGAAATAACGAGCTTTTATATGCCTATATAGATTAATCTATCAAAAATTCGTAAAACATTTCAAGTAAAGGGGTACAAACTAAATAAATACTGAATAGTGAAATTTTGGACGGCGTTACGGAACTTATCTGATTTAATTTAAAGAACATAATTCTTTTTAACAACTGACTCGGCTATCTCTCTCACATGTTTGAAGTCTTCAGTTTTTAAAAAATAACTTTGATAATGTTTTGCAAATCTTCTTGTATTTGATATGATCACCTTCATTATACATAATTATAAAACGTTTCCAGTATACAGTATTGAATTATTAAATTTCAGAGAGAAATATTTATAAAACATTATCAACAATTTTGTAAAAATGGACCAAATAAAAAAGGTATGAGGAAGTCTGAAGGGCCATCTTAGGTTTAATATATATCTTTTATATTTAACGGCTGTCAAAGAAATACAATTTAAAATTTTAACCTGAAGAAAAAAAAGTTATGGCAACAAATTCAAAAACCCACTTATATATATATAATGGATACAAAAAGATATTATTCAATGCATAAATCAATATATGTCCCTCTAAGCTAATGTTGTTGAACACGACACCTAAAACTGTTATAAAATGAATAAATAGGATAATTTTCGATAGTGACAAATGAGTTTTTTATAAAATGGAATTGAACCTCCAGGTCTGAAACCGTCGTTTGATGGATGCTTCGTCCTTCAAACTATTGCACGAGATGAGCACATTGTATGTCCTCGAAAGGTCGTTTCTGTGTAATTACAAATTTGTGAACCAGTAGTAACCATTAAATTTTTAATAGAGAATTTTATTTTTTAAAAAAGGACTTAAGGAAACTTATTTACTTCTTCTTATTATTTTTTTTTGTTATTACTATTGATTAGTTGGCTACTTATTTACTCAAAAGCTATGCAGTATAATTACGTAGCAAAGTACCAGTACTTTCCAGAACTAATCTATCTAGATCTAGAGATTTAGAGAACAGAAAATGACTTCATACTTCAAAGGAGTGTTGTTCTTGAATAATTTCACTCGCAACAAAACTATATACTTAAAGATAATTTATCAATGGTATTATTGTTATCTTAAGTCTCAAAAAAAAATCTAATTTCTTTTCGAAAAACCTTTTTCTCATTTAATCGAAACCGATTCTTCCATTCTAGTATTTTGAAAATTTGAGTTATAAACGTTCGACTATGAGTAAAACCGTAGACCAAGAAACAGTGTTTTCCCTAAATAGTACTGAACCCAAGACCCTTCATGGGTTGTAGTGGTACAGGTTTTATTTTATTTTTTAATTGAATAATATTTCATCTTGTCACAATTAAGAACATTATTAATAGTGATATAGTAGCTCATTCACACTCTATATACAATAAAAAAAAAATAAAACAGAAAAATAATAATAGCTTTAAAATTCAGATTTTTTATTTTTATTTACTAATAATAATAGTATGTCGTTTATAATGAGAACAGACCCACCAAATATGATCGAATCCGTTATCATGTTTTTACTTATTAATACAGGGTTACAATAACATATTGTTTTATACAAATAACGCCATAAAATTAAAAACAAATGTTAAGAAAAAAATGTTTCGATAATTTTTCATAATGGGGTAAAATATGTATTGTATAAAACATCATAGAAATATATATTTGTATATCGATCATTTAAACTGATAAATATATAATTTAATTTTATATTTATAATATATTAGGTAATATTAAGTAAAGTCTAGGACCTGTATTGAAATCGAAATCTTCGCTAACTACTTACAAAATGTGTAATAAATAAATAAGTAAAATTTCGAATTGTAACTTTTTATAGTAATTGGGATATCGCTACTGTTAGTGCAGAAGGCCGTATGTAAAAATTGAGTTTTTTAACAGAAGAGCATAAAAACTCATTATTTCTTTATGATTTATTAGTGTAATTACATATTTAATTTCACTCTGCTGTTTTCTATAGTAGCGGAATACTTGATGCAGTTGAAGATTACAAAATAGAATAAATATGAAAAATTGTTACATATGACCTTTTGCACTAACAGCAGCAATATGTAACGTTAAAAATGTTATTACTGAAATCATTTTATTTATCGAAAATAAATCTTTAGAACTCTATTTATTTTATTTTAAAGTTAAAAAAATTATTAAATTTGTGCTAGCTGGAAGCTTTAGATAAAACGCATCGTCATTCTGAGTAGTTTTATTATTATTTCTTTTTTCAATATTTTATAAGGTCCATTACTCATGCATAGACATCCTAGCAGATAATTTTCTCAAATTAAGACCTGAAGTGATGACTAGCCGTTATTCAAGGAACAGATCCATTTTAGCACGTAGCTCTTAAGAGATACGACGTGTCCTTAGAAGGTCGCCCCGGACGTAATATAGGCGATGATCGTGGGATGTTGGCTGACAAATTGATCGCCTATACTTTATCTATTATTCTAGTAACTAGTTACCAGTAGTAATTGTTAGTGGCATTTTATGGGCAATAACTGTTATTTACTGCTATAGCTGAATACATCGGATACTCCCTCTGGGACCAATCACCACTGCCATGAATAACAAGGATAAATACCGCTGCTACAAATTAGTGCATATTTCCATTGAAGGATTAGGTAGCCTTATTGCAGAATTACGATTATTGGTAAACTATACTCATAATTACATTATGTTATAATTATATTTATAATTTCACGATTTTGTGTTTAAATATACAAAAAAATTGTACCACCAAATATAAAATATCATTGATCAGCAACAAATCTGGAAATTAAGCGGACCTAACACGATCAATCGTGAATGAAAGTCACAAGGATTGCTCCAATCATGATGAACCCTAAACGTTCAATCATTAATGACCATTTTAGCTCAGTTGACATAAAGATAACTGGCAACGTGGATCTGGTGCACCTTCCACTCATAATAATGTTTTTAATTTAAAAAGATTATTTGACATTATCGTTTATAGCATTGGACATCAAGAGGAAAATGGAGTTATAATAATTACTTCCTAGTGCCTGAAAATCGTTTTGACAAAAGTTGGAAAAATATAAGTCAACTACTTATAAAAATTAAGGATAGGTATTGCGAGATTAATACATTTATTGAGAAAAATTGGAAAAGAACTGACAAACATACACAACAGTAAACGATTTTTTTTAATTTATTGCCCACTTAATTATTTAAAAGAAAAAAATTGAAGATGGTTTATAAAATATAAACAAGGGATAAGAAAAACTATTTACTTTAAATGAAAATCCGGAATTTACAATGGTTGTGAGGCCTAGAAAGCTAATTTATCTAGTAGTAAGGTTAGTATCCCCACCACTTCTCGTGATTGAACCTTTGATTTCCGGATTTTCGAAAATCAAACAGACACGTCCATCAGTACTCAATCAGTACCTTACGCAATCAATAGAAACGTCAATAGTACCTCGGAATGCAATTCCGAATGACCGTGTAGGGTCCGCATTATAGTCTAGACTTGAATGAACCTTTAAAAATGATGCTATATATAGATTCCTGGAGAATTATCTCAACCATTCAAAGTTCTTCAAGATGGACACTCACCGATGTTGTTCCACTTAGGACTGGAGAAGATGATAAGAACATCGCTTGAAAATGGAGGAGTGCATGCCGGAATGAAACATAAAATCCTTGGATGCGCAGATGATATAGATTGGAAGCAACCAAGAAGACACGAAGAAATGTGATAGGAGAAGCAGAGCAAATCAGCCTCAATGACTGACCAAGGGTCGGGAAAAGACTAGCGTATAACAAGTGCAAATAGAGTTTTCGTCTCTCTATCAAAGGTATTGAAATCCAGAAAAAAAAATAAGAAATCTCAAATTAAAGATGTATAGTTCTATTATAAAGCCAGTTCTGATATACGAATGAGAGACCTCAACACTAACCAGCATCCTAGAAAGAAGTATTGAATGATTTGAGAGAAAAATCCTTCTCACAATAACCGGAAAAGTCTGAGATCACAGAAATGACGCATGGAGGAGAAAGACTGATAAAGAGCTGCTTACAGAATCTGGTCAATCAATATCGCATGATATGAAAGCCAGGAGGTTAAGATAAGGCAGTAATAGATCTACAAGATCTGTAATAACAACATAAAAAATATATATACATATATGATACTTTATAAGGCTCTATTATATTATAATTAATAAGGGCAACAGAGATAATAATTCAATTCTAAGTATGTTATGATGAATCCAAACTAAGGTCAACGGGAAGAATGATAATTGCAGTGAGATCATCAAACTGTATCCTCTGGGTCAGGTGGTGTTTAGGATAAAGACACAAATATTTTTGTCACTTTCTGCATGAATATGGATATAAAGCTTTGTTAGAGAGGAAGCAATAGTCATAACGAACATTGTTAAGAGAAATATATATGTAGAAGACAAATACGAGGTTTAGAGCACAACACAAACTAAAAATAGCACGAACGGCAGTTAAGACTCCCAAGAGACAGTTATGTCTTCTTAATCACCGTTAAAAAAGATGTAAAACATACTCTTTTGAACCGCTCAATTTTAGTTCTAAAATAGCCACATGGAGAGTAGTCTCACATACATTGCTAATGAAACTTCAAGTACAAACAAAGAGAAGGAAAACCAAACAAAGAAGCAATAAATATAGAAATAGAAATAAATAAAAGAATTTTACAGCCCACGAAGTATTCAGTACAGCTAAGAAAGTAACTATTTCTTCTCGACCAGAAGTTGTAGAAGGAGATGAAGTGTTCAGCAAAGAGATTATTCCCTACCCCAACTCAGGATACCACACACAGGGTATATATATTTATATTATGTAAGCCAATGTATACACATGTATGTTGTCTGATATCTGGATATATATGATGTTTCAAATGCTGTTGAGTAACCTACATTTCTACAGATAAACAATTTTTAAAAAATCTTTATAGAGTAATATTACATTTTGTCACAAGTTACGACACACATAAAAATTAAAATAAAAGTTGTTAGATTGCACAGTATGGACTTATCAAAATAAAAAAACTCTTATAAATTTTATGAAAGCTAAAACTCTTCCTAGACAATAAAAAAAAATATCGAAGATTCTATATCTAAAAAAATAAAACTTTTCGCTGACTTGCTGAGTACTTTCTCCAAATAATGCAGGAAGTAGGTGGGCGGGTATCAGATAAAAAAATTACACCAGCGGCAACTCTCAATATATATAAAAATAACTCGATCGATATTTTCCAATCCGTCATTATTTACGGTCGCCCAGTTAGGAAGTTTATAGTACCGGTCTTTAACCAAATGCTCACTCAAAATTTTGCAAACATATAAAATTTTATAATGCACGCTTCACCTGTTATCGAATGTTCATGAATAGATCTCGTTGAACACGAAAAACTCTTCAAGTACTACACTATGTGCATACATTAATGTTTATAGTGCATGAATAAATGAATAAAAAAAAAAAATATTTCATTCATTCATTCAGTCAGTATACACATTTACGTGTGATTCACAATCAAAAACCAAATAATAAGCTAAAATATAATATTGTTTAAATAAAAATTTTTATCTATAACTATAAAGTTATAGTTATAGATGTTTCGGCATCCTTAAGAGTGCCTTTTCTTTTTCATCCAAAACTCTTAAGGAAGCGCGCCTCCACGTGTTGCGCCTGGATACTCTATTCCCGAAAGTAAAGGCTAGGGATAGGAGGACGAAAACAAAACCCTCTAGGAGTTATATTCCAGTCGGGGTAATCCGACTATAAAAATTCTTATATAATGAACAAAAAGATCTTTAACAAAATTTTTAGCTACAAAAGCATGGGAGGATACACGAAGTAAATATGAGAATAATTAAAGAAGCTTAAAATTTGAGATGCCGACTGTCTAGATAGAACAGAAAAACACTGAAAAATCTCACCAATATTGGAAAAGATAATAGGAAGAGTACAAACTGGTCCGAAGAAAGACAAGAAATGCAATCGAAAATCATGAAACTGCGATGGGAAGAAAGAAAATCAAGACTCCAAAGAGGGTTAACCAATGATATTCAGGTGGCCCTTAGTGGTCGATATGTGAAAAAAAAATGTATAGTATAAACGTTTTATAAACATGGAAGAATCATTTTTAAAAAAAATTAAAATCTTGGAGAAAAATAATTATAACAATTTTTTTAAAATTTATTATTGAAATTTAAAACTGTATTAAATGATAAATACAACAAGTAAATATGGAATAAGTAACTTGACACGTACAACATGAAGAGAAACTAACCATTGGTAGCACTCTAATTATATTTCTATTTTAGAAGGTCTCGAGGCGATCTTCTTTTCAGACGCCTCGGAGGGTTATAAGGAATAGAAGAAGAAGCAAGGTTGGAAACAAGAGGGTTCGGATGGTTCAGAAGTTTATTATGACAGGACAGGTATCTGGATTGAGCTAAATCGGAAACATATGGTACATTAAGGTCATTATGGATGATTTTATTTGTGACAAAGTAGGAAGTATTAAGGATTTTGGATTGTAGGGATTGGATACGAGAGGAATTTGATGGTTTAGTAGAGCCGCAAAGCTAGATTCAGAAATTTACTATTTTGTTCTTATTTTACTACTCTTATTATATTTTCTTTTTTATATGTTTGACTTTAATTAATTATTAAAATAAAATGTATTTAATTAATAATCTAAAAAGAACAAAACTAAATCAAGTTTATATGAAAAAAAAATATTAGGAGCAAAATAATACTTTTGATTCTATTAATTATATACTTTGATGAGATATTGAATATTTTCCTTAATAAAAAAAAGAAGGAAATAAAAAAACATAATACTTATATTTTATAATAGATAATTTTTATTTTTTTTAATTTTTAATGTTCTTGAACAATTTAGAAGAATTAAAATAATATATTACTATAAAATGTATAAAGAATTATATCATATATAATATTGTCATGAATTCAATTAAAATGAAATTAAATATTCAAATACTTTCGTATTTTTAAAGATTCAGCTGATTCACAATTGTTGTAAAGTTTAGTCTAAAAATTATTTTAAAGTTTTGTGCTGGAGTAAAAGTGTTTATTTTCAACACTTAATCATAATTCATAGTTTATAACAGATAGTTATAATTTTAACCTTGACAGAACAGTAGGAGTAATAACAACGAAAATTAAATTAAAAAAATTAAACTCAAATATCTGTTAATAGTTTTTCAAGGTACAGAAAAAAAATTAAACTGAAACAAAAAGATTTCTCCCCTCTCGAGACCCATTTATATGGGAAGCGAATGTGGTCCCTTCCAATAAGCATTAAGAGCAAATCGATTCCGCAATGCGTTGCAGCAAAAAGGGACTACCGAAGGCGCCAAGGAGGCGTGCGTGGGGAGGAGATGCAGGCACCAGAGGGTTCTGTCTCCTATAAACATCTCTTTTCCAACTAATCAAATCAAAGGAGGGAGGAATTACAGTTCGATAAGCACGTGAGGGTTGGATCGAAGTCAAAATGGATCTTACTTTAGAGAGGAAATATGATAAGATGGGATACTATAACGGAGTAACATGAACAATTACGGAACCTCATAGGAAATTCAGGGTTTGTGGCAAATTGAGTAGGCTGCACTGCCAGAAAACATCTTAACTGATTTGGGTTCCTCTGATCCGCTCTGTTTTTTTTTTTTTATGATATTGATAAGAGTGTTTTAGAGTAGGAAAAGTAATTTTTTCTTTACTTGATGTAATAATTTTTAATCAAGAAAATATGTAAACATACTCAAAATTATTAGTCGATTGAGGTATATTATCTCTCTAGCTTCTTTTGAAGGCAAGTTCTAAGCAAAATACTTTAAGACTTTTCTAAAAAAATAAATTAAAAAATCACACAACTTTCACTTACCCTCTTCTTAGCAGAAATAAGTATTTTCAGACAGAGGGGAAGTGAAAGTAAAAATTATTGACGCTTAATTTATTTACAATCCATTGCGGGTATTTTTATTGGTTTAAATACCCTTATATATACAAATTATAATTTTTATATCGCTGTATTGTATACAATTAAATATTAAATAATATCAACGATAGAATTTATAAAAACAGCATAGGTATATGAACATAATATTGTCGGAGTCCGTATTATATGAAACTCATGTAACGTATGGAAGCCTGTTGTAATCTGTCGGGCGAGCTCGGGTGGACTCGGGCAAGCTCGTATTCCTTTGACTCCTTTATTACAACTATTATCCGTTACGGTCTCTTATTTATCCTTTAGTTAATTATCAAATTCTTTCATATTTTATATTTAACTATTTCTTATATCAAACATTAATGTGAAATGATTAATGATTTCAAATAAAAAAAAAAATAAAGGTACTTTAGAGGATGCCAATATTGGAAATTAGCGATAATCGAATTATACAATATAAGTACCATCTTCCGGTTGGCCGATTTTGACGAAGATGTTGCTGTAACAAAAATAATTGTTCAAATATTAAAGTCAAATTCCATCACGAAGCATAAAGTACCTGAAATAGCAGTAAATAACTAAGCAGAAAACATCTCGCCAACTCAATCATCATAGGACAGAAAAAAATAAGAACAAACAACCTCATATCAAAAGTCACAAAAAGACCGAAATATATCCAAAGCAATCTTGAAACAACAACGAAGGTTCAAGACTCGCAAATAGAAAATTCAATTACTGCTACTTGGTTGGTTTCAATCGGCAAAACTCTGACGGGTTAGTTATTTACTACTGTTGAAAAGATTTCAGGATTGATGTTGAAATCTTCCAATAATAAATAACCTTATGAAAACATAAAAAGAAACTTATATAATTGTATAATTTCGGAAATTATTTTCATTTTATAGTTATTTTAAAAAATAAATAAATTCTCTACTACACATTATAGAAAAACCAGTGTCTAGTTTTTAAGCTAATTAGTTACTTATTTTCCTAAGTAGCTATCGAAAGTAATGGAACTTAGCGGATCCTCTCCAGACCTAATCTATTTAGAAAGTTCTCTGGAAGGTTCCAGGAAGCAAACGGGACTTGCCCATACTTCCAGGAGGTGGCGCCCTTCTCGGATATTTTTACCTTTTAATAACTTTGAAATTAACAGATAATCTATTAATTATCATTTAAATATGACGTTTTAAACAATAACTAAGCCTATACGTATTGTATAAGCAAGGTATTTGTCAAAACATAAAATAGAAATCTGTTCCTTATCGAGGAAGTACATCTAAAAGTGATGAGAAAATCGTTTTGTGTACTTATTTATTTTGAAATTTGGAAGGAAGGAATTCGAAGCTTTATTGTTCCAATTTATTTTATAACTAGAAAAGAAGATTTTAATATAGAAAATATCCTGAAAATGACTAAAAAGAAGGTAGTCATTATAAATTATTCATGGGATTATATAAGTAGCGTTTACAGTTTATATAAGTAGTGTATCCAACATTTTATTTTGGGTTGCTTGGATTGTTTTATAAATTTTATTAACGGTAATTAGTCTAGAAGAAAAATAAAGACATTATATAAAATAATGTTTAAGTCCTGGAAGACCAGTAAAAAAAATGAATAAATAATAATAAAAATAATATTTTTTTCTTGAGAAGCGCTTACATTTAATAGCTGAAATATATACGTATTAATTTAAAATGATATTTTAGTATCAAATATTTTAAATGCTTATTTCAACTTTTAAGTTTTTAGATCAGATCACTCATAGAAAAAATACGAACCAATACAAAAAAAATTTCGATTTTGGGGAGGGAAAAGGGCATTAGCCCAAAAGCGTCTCCCCATAGACCCATTAGTAGTTTATATGATATTTGCTAAAATAAAATTCCAATGTGGTGATTTATCGTGTTTAAAAAAAAGTTTTTTTTTATAGAACATTTCTTTGGATCTATCGTATTTGGATCTCTCCTTTTAATTTGGCTTGAAACAAAGCATCCTCCAATTGCACATTTTTTACGAATTGGTATGTCCCCTTTTAATCTGACTTGAAACAAATCATCCTTCAATTGTACAATGTTTATGCATTTAGGTCTCCCCTTTTAATCTGCTTGAAACAAATTATCCTCCAATGGTACAATTTTTACGCATTTGGATTCCCCCTTTCAATGGAAGCCATCTTGTAGCGCCTTCGCTATGAGCTGAAAGACTAGTGAAAATTTTATGTTGAGGATGGACATTGTAAGTCTTTGTGGAATTTCAAAAGTTTGTACATTGACCCATTTTGACCATCCAAGATACAGATATAAAGATGAGTATTATAATTCATTATGAATGATCTGTTATGGTTTTATATTGGCGAAAATCTTTCTCCATCACGACTCACTGGATCCTGTGAGGTCAAGAAAAATCTTCAAAACGGCTTTTCTAACTGATTTCATTAACAGAAAGCTTACAATATTAGGGTCATAGACTACTATAGTTTAATAATATAATACTGTGATATTTCAAGAAAAAACAAATCTTCAGATGTTCAAATCGAAGAACTAATTTTATCAACAGATTCTTTTTTTCTATTTGTATGAAAATAAAGATTTCTTTTTTTAAATTGTGAATAATGCGACGATTGAGAAAAAAAAGAACAAACGACTTGGTGGAATATTTGAGCATTCCATCGTATGATTAACCAAACCAAGACACCACAACTAAATTTCTAAAACTGAAGATTTATGGACAACTGAGTGTATTGACGAAATTCATTATTTCGTCTTGAAACTTAGTTTGATTAAGTTTTTTTAAATGAAAGAAAAAAGTTATTAAAGCAGAAATGCTAACAAACAAACATGACTGGATACAAGATTATTATCAATCCCATAAAAGTCTAAGGGATCCGAAATCAAGAATGGAACTCATCATCACAATGTATCTTCTGTTCTTTCACTCATACCTCACCTCAAAATTTAGGCCATCGTTTATTATTGATTATTAATGCTTTGTAAAGAAAAATTTAATAATAGGTGATGAATTTTGTTTCAGGTGCAATATACGGGGTCCAGGAGTGCTATGTATGCCGTCCAGACGGAGAACGGTCGCCCGAACTGGAGAAGCAGTTCCCCAACGCAGAACTACCGATCTGTGGTACCAAACCACCAGAAAGGAAAGTCTGTCCAATAGGTTCTAAGGGATGTTTGACCCAGTACGAAGGTAAACTTTACAACAGCAAGGACTAATCCTTATATTTATTTATTGTATTTTTTTCTTAAATCCGCCGAGGTAAAGCTTTTTTGATACCATCTGAACTTGCAAGACCTCTAAGAGAAACCATACCCCAAGAATGGCAAAGACGGTGAGACAACAGCGCACCTAGCAAATTAAAGACAATAAAGGAAGGGATGCAACCGTGGACCAGCTCCAAACGCAGCAGTCGTAGAGAAGAGGTCGTCCTCACGTGGCTGAGGATCGGTCATACTAGACTGACACAGCTCCACCTCATAACAAAAGATCTTATCCCCAAATGTCAAAAGTGTGACCAGTCATTAACTATAAAACATGTTTTGGAAGAGTGCTCTTTTTACACCGCAAGGTTAAAAGACCTCGGAATACCCCAGAATATATCAGCATCGCTGGAAAATCAAGTAGATATCGTTACCAAAGTTATCAAGTTTCTGGATAGTGAAAGACTTAAACAACATATACGACAAGTTTATAACTAATGATCCTTTGCAGATTTATTATTATTTCTTATTTTTTTTTAATTTTATTTCAAAAGTTTATTTTTATATTAATTTCAATTCATTTATTGGTTTTATTGCAATTTCTTTAAAGTTTATTTATTTATCTATTCCGTTATATTATCTATAAGTGTCTGTTGTTATTTCTATTTATTTATTTTATTCTATCAATCCTTTTATTTATTTTTTTTATCCTTTTTTTTATTTTTTGTACCAACCATCCAAACAGTATAAAAGTAGTGTTATTTAGTTGATCGGGCGCTGATGGCGCTGATGACCTGGATGTTTTACGCCTAGACATCGAAACAAACAAAACGAAATCCGCCGCATCTTGAAACAACAGAACAAAGTAATCAAACTAATCTTATCGCAAATTCTCGTGAACATTGTTAGTTAAGAGCGAACTCACGCAGCCCTTAGTTAAAACTAACAATTTATTTTTTTTTCTCCAAACTCTGAATGAGACCTGGAGGACCTGCCCTTCGAAACTACTCCAGATAAAATAAAACAGCTCAAACTGGAGCACTAGCTGCCGGGGATCAAGACGAAGAGGAAATAATATTGTGCCGCCTCAGGATCGGCCATTGTGAGTTCTCGCTTCATGGATATCTTCCGCGCCGTCTGGAAGCGCCTACCTGTGTCGCGTGTGGTGCTCCTAGAACAGTCACCCACTTATTGGTTAAATGCCAACAGTATGCACCAACAGGAAAAAAACTGAAGATGAGTTTCAATATACGAGAAGTCCAAGAAGACCCAGAAACTCGTGTCCAATTTCTTATAAAATTCTTGAAAGAAACTAAGTTTTACCACGGAGTGTAGAAATATAAGAAATGCCAATGACCCTTCGGGATAGAGGCATTTCCACAATTTAAAAAAAAAACCTACTATTACGTTATCGGAAAGTTTGTATGAAAATATTATCGATTTCAAGATAGCGGGCTCATGTATCGATTTATTTAAACTCTAAATTTTTTCAAAGTAATCGATTATTGTGTTATAGGTTAATTACCGATTTCCCAGCAATGAGATAAATTGAAGAGGTTTCTCTAAAGATATTCAAACCAATATTTCTTTAAATTTTTTTAGGCATTGGGAAAAAATCTGAAGTTCGCCAGCAAATTAACATGTTTTTAGTGACTGTTAACTTCTTAAAATTAGAAAATCAATCTACAGAATACAACAATCAGAATAGGCCAGAAAAAACTTATACTACAAATTTATCAGTTGATTTCAGTTCCTTAGAAACTTTTAAAAGAAAACCTTTCAATTATTACTTCCATAAAATTCTTCAAAATCAAATTTCATTATTTTCAATTTATATAGTTATCATAAGATCTTGGTTAGAAATTTTTTTCTGGTATTTTACTGATATCTGCCTGCTTTTTTACCATAAATCGAAATGCACAAGTGTGATCAAAAATACCAGAGTAAATTTGGAATCAGTATAATTAAAGTTCTTATAAATGATAAAAAAAACTAAAATTTTTATTTTTTATTTATTTTAGGGGATAGAGTTACCAAAAGCTGTTCTGAGCTATTTGTAAACGATTGCAGTCAAGCGAACAGAGTGAAATATTGTTACTGCGGAGGAACATTATGTAACAAAGAAGAAAAAACAATCACAATAACTCCCGAAACAGATGATGAAGACTTGTCTGAAGGAAGCGGAGATGGCACAACTACAACAGTGACAACACAATCAACTACTACAATAAGTACAACAACTAAACCCACAATGAAAACTCACAAAGCATCAACTTCTTCATCTCTCAAAACTCCGTGGTTTACCGTTATTATGATGATATACATTTTCCATTTTCTAAATTAAAAAGGGCTGAGTATCATAGCAGTAACAAAGACCCAACAGCATAAAACTTATTATTCATTTATTTTATTTATTTATTTATATATTTGTTTAAATGCAACGAATTCGAATGGTAACACTGATCCTGGTTGAAATTATTACATTAATTAATCCATAGCTAAACTGTTACTTGATACTTTCTCTGCTTAGTATTTAATAGTGTGCGTTACAATGGAATAACTAGTAGAAATATTAATGAAGAAAAAACAATAAAATAAAGTAAAGTTATTATCAGGAAAAATATCAAATTTGGATAGAATTTCGAAAAGTGAATAGATTCTTAAAAGAACTGAACTCTGACTGAATGTAATTAATAAATAAAATATTAAGTATTAATTTAAAATAAACTATTGAAAGAAATGAGGATTTTTGAGCACTCCAACAAAATTATTACAGGAAACAATGAACTAGAATTACGAAGTAAAAAACTTAAAAAGCTCAATTGGTAAGGTATATTTCTTAAATATCAATTTACCCAAGCATATTAATGAGTTGTTACAATTTAACAATTAGATACTTGAAAACTGCTTTGCTAAAGTTTAAAAATAAAATGAAGTATTTAATTGTAAATAACATTCCGATCTCATTAGTATTAAACATTTTATATTTTATTATAAATTTAATTTGGTTGTTACATATTTCATAGTTCATTTTGAATAAATGTTACCTTCTGTTAAAAAAATATATCAAAATGTGACATCAAAACATTGCAGAAAAAAATTAAATATTGCTCCAGTTTTTTGTTTCTTGAAATCTTTCTTAATGATGGTTATGTTCCTTTATTATATTATTTATTATTATTCGTAAATCTATTTATTTTATTACTTTAGATAGTTTTAGTGGCCTACTGATGTTTTTATAGATTAGTTAAATAATTTAACATATTATATTACTGTATGTCAAAATATTTATGTATTATATTATTTTATACAAAATCAACCTTTAGAAATTAAGTTTTTTAAACTGTCTTCAGTTTCATTAATTAATAAGTTATAGTTAATCAAAATTCATACAAATATGGATTTAACATTACAAATATCGATAACATTATTTGAAATAGTAAGGGTTAATTTTAACTAATATTACTTATTTTTATTATAAAGTTGGATAATGAAGCCTATCCAATGATACTTGTCTGATTCTTAGTGCCCAATACGTGATTAAAAAAAAAAAGTTGTATAAATTAAATATGTATTTTCCAGGATTTTACATTCGAGGGGGCCAATAATTTCACAATCATAATTTTTCTTATCAGTTTGACTTCAAGAAGGAGTCAGCTTGAATACTACTCAAAAGGGGTTAAATCTTTTTTGAAATGATTAATTCATTTGTATTTTATGTAAAAAAATATTAAATTCTTAAGTTAATTTTGGTATGAAAATATTTTAGAGTAGTGATGAGGCCCCTTAAGCTCCCGAAAGGCACTGGTTACATTCTCAATGAAATTATTAAATAAATTACAATTAATAATTTCAGAATATTTTTCTTTCACTTCTGTTTAGTAAGACAAAACAAATAGGCCAATAACATATCAAAACGAAGAACTCTTCATGACATTGTCAAGCAACACTAATATAATAAATAGCTTTACATAGATCATAGCTGTCAATTTCTGATGGCTATGCTTCCTCAAAAGATAAATCAACAACGGACTAAAGTTTCTTGCCATATTTATAGAATTAACTAGAAACTAAGAGAATTAACTAAAAGAACAGAGATCATCTTTTCTAAATTATTAATTATTTTAAGTATCATCTTCAAATTATAACATTATTTATTTCTGTAATACTTATACGTCTTAACATATTAACTAAAATCTTTGCAAAATAATTTTATAAATTAATATATGATTCGTTCTAATAAATATTATAAAATTAGTTCTATAAGTATCATTAGTAGAAACTGATATACAGGAGATTTGCAAAATCGATATTTGTGATGTGAACACTCATGTAAAGCTACCAAATACCTGTTTTAGTAATTATAATTATTTTGAAACAATATTTGTTTTCTGATTGGAATATTTGTTGATTGACGGACCAAAATTTTGTGCCAACCATTTTGTAATCAAGGTGTAAAATGTTATTTATTTAGTGAATATACTGGGTTAAAATATCCAGTGAATTGTGATACCTAAAATATATAGTTAATAAGGAGTTTTCATTTACAAATTTATGTAAAATATTATACCCTAATAATTATTGTAATAATAATTTTTAATATTAGTATTATTAGTTAAGTTGATTTCTATGGATGACAAAAGAAATGATAACTTATATGTTAACTGTATTAAACCCCAAATACAGATATGAATAAGAGCGATTATTATTATTATGATGATGATGATTATTATTAGCATGATGATCATTTATAAGATATAAAAGGCAAGTTAAAAAAACATTAAACGGTGTGAATCATTCCTATATATGTATTATTGCTATTATTCCTATATAACAAATAATTACAGAAACAATAAATTAAATAACTAAACACTATATTCTTATACAAAACTATGGATGATAATTTGATATTTCTAAACTTCAAAAATTTAAAAATTACTTGAAATGAAATTAAAAGGAACTCCAGAAAATAAGAATAACGCAGATACATGACAGAGTGGAGTTAGATCTACGAATAAATAGAAAAAAAATCCAATATAATGCAACAAAGACCTGAAAAACTAATGCTTCAATGGATAAATTTCAAAGTTTATATTTTATTGGGTTGACAAATAAGTCCTTTTGGTTTTTCAGGATGAAATAAAACTCAATGTAACATAGAAATAAAATTAATTTTAATCTACAATATATTGACTATTATTTAATATAACTTTTTCTCATCTTTCCACTAACTGCATAATACCATGTTCATAGAATGTCTGGAGTTTATTGTTAAACAACTGATCTACGTGGTTTTTTATGTCCTCTTCCTTTTGGAATTTCTTTCCATTCATGGAGTTCAGGAGCGACCGGAATAAGTAGTGACTAGTAGGTGTGGACTTGGAGCTAGATGTAGTGAATAGGGACGGTGGGGCAAAAGGTCCCATCCAAGGCTCAATAATTTATTATGAGTGACCAATGAGGTCTGTGGCCTAGCGTTGTCTTGGTGGAACACATCCTTCCAGTCATTCATAACTCTTCAGGATGTTCTCCAAATTCGATGTTACTATATCCGTTGGAAAGCTGATTTATTTCTCTTTAAAGCTGTATGAATGATTTTTTTTCATTTAATGCCTACATAAGGAATAAATAAACAAATACTCCTTATACGTTTTTATTTTTTATCTCTATTTGTAGTTTGTTTACGATGGTCCTGATGTCATTTTATGTAGTTTATGTGGCCCTAAATTCCTGCTAAATTTCTTTTAGATAGCTAAAGTCATAACATTTATTGTGATTTTCGAAAACAAAATCATGTGAGGGACCCAAACATTAAGCCTGGAAATATAGCCGAGCTCAGCACATGGTTTTCAACACATGTGTGCAACACATTCATCAGGATCATAGCAATCTCTCGCATTGATTGGGTGAGATTTTGATCAACAGTGGCCTTAATATTGCTCGTTTCAATTTCATGTGGGCGACCAGACTGTTGAGCATCATTGATGTCAAAATTTTCTGAATGAAATTTGACAAACCAATTTTGACGGGTGCATTCAGTTAAGGCATCATCACCATAAACACTACAAATTTTTCTATGAGCTTCTGCAGCATGCTCACCTTTTTTAAAATAATACAACAAAATTTGCCTATAATGAATGATATTTTCTTCCATATTCACAGTGCAATAGCAAACATAATACTAAGCTATATTCAACAAGAGCTAACAGATATAGTTGTTGACATAATACAAACAGGATAAACAATCCACCTTAGGGATGAATTCATCAAATAATAAGTGTATCGTGTATAAGTGTAACAGAAAAAGCGAAAAGACTTATTTACCAACCCATTTAAAAGACTTTAAATTTATTGTTTAAATCAATAAAATAATTTTTCTGACACCCTAACCATTCACTTAACACCTCCTATGTTTTTTACTCTATTAAAGTAAGAATAAAACAAAATATGAAATAAAAAAAAAATAGCTAAACACATATTTCACATTTCAATTAATAATTCATTAATGGCATGAGGCTTTTCATAATTAATAAATAAATTTAAATGAAATATCAATCTGAATAACTACGAATATTTAATCTTAGTTTGAAAGTAATTCCAATATTCTTTTTGTCATATGCATGTTCATCAACCAAATGGGGATGAAGAAATTCATTCAGTTAGCTATCGAACTCATTTTAGTAAAAAATTGAAGGTGGATTTAGAATTTATAAGAAAAAAATATTAGCACACATAAAGATCAATACTCCAAACAATTTCTATATAGTCAATAGTTATCAAATATTATAAAATAAAATTTTTAACTAAAGAATAAAAATATAATGAACAAGCAGACATGTGAGGCAATGCATAGGAATTAAAACAAAGAAAAAACATATGGGAAAATTTCAAGGACCAGGAAATACCAGGCCATCAGATAAAAATCTGCAACATCCTCCATTGTCATTCTATTTTACACATGAAACAGTTCTATAAATATATTCAATGATTTACTTTTCTATCCAAAATTAATCGATTGATAACAAAAGAAACAAGGATAACGATTATTAAAAATAATAATATAAAACCTTTACCCTGTTATTTAGGTTTCAAAAGCAAACTTTGATCAAAAGCATGATCATACAAAAAGCTGTCATAAAAAAAAAAAAAAAAAAAAAAAATCAAATTGTATCAATAGCAATTAGGAAATATTGGTGGAAAAATAAAAATTCATGCAAAATATACAAATTATAAAACATTTTGAATTAGAATATTTATAAACATCTCCAAACTATAAATAAATAAATGTCAGCCAAAGAATAGAATTTTTTTTTGTATGTATGGGTTGTGTTTGTTTATATGTGAAAGAAAGATTTTCCTAAATGTAACTGTTTGGTATAAACCAATATGATAAAAGAGTCACTAAACAACATGAACAAGATTCCACGGAGAACTGACAACATATCAAACAGTATTTATTAAAAATAAAATTCATTTTTTTTTTTTCATTGAACAACTACCAAAAAACTACAAGGAACAGGGATCTTTAGTACTTAATTTTCATGTTCTTTCACATCTAGACAGATATGGAAATATATAAAGAATTGATGACTGCAATACTGAAATCATACAGTTTCACTGACAAATAGATCTGCAAGTCAAATCATGACATTATTAAGATACTATGACTTTTACTTGAACCTTTTGGATGAAACATGAAACCAGAAAAAAAGTTAATAAATAAATAAAACTGAAATATCAATGATTTCAGTTCACATATCATTGCTTATAGAGTAGAATAAATAAATTTTACTAAAAAAGAAACAACGAAAAATCCCCAGAAACATGGATAATTTTACAAAGCTAGCAATAAAAGTATCACTAACAATCTGATAATTTATTCAATTAAATAATAATTAATAATTTAATATATAAATAAGAAATAATTTAGAATTTTTCCTCAATTTGTATAAAATCACTTATATTATAATTAATACCTTTTAAAACTGGATAAATATTGGCAAAAATAATTATGAATCACTGTTTAAGAAAAAATCTGGTGCGTGCAACACACAACTTTCACTTACCGCTCAACTTGGAATAGAAATTATTTTCTGGCCCTGTTGGACTATTATAACATTTTTGAATTGCATTTTTAACTGAGCTAAAGATAAAAAATTATAACAGATAAAATAAAATAACAGCTAACAAATCATAAATGCCATTAAAATAACAAAAGTCCTATTTATTATATCACCAGTTGATTATGGATTGTACGATTCGTTGATTATGGATTGTACGACTATTAGTTATTAAACTGCTATTTTCCATTGCAAAGTTTAATAAAATGGAATTACGAGATTTGCATTGTCTGTCATAGACAGGTCAAAATTTGTCACACTAATTGTAAGTTGATATTGTTGTAATATCACAAAAGGAAATTTCATCAAACTATTCACTAATTTTAATTTTCAAAAAAGTTACATGACAATATTTCGGAATAAATGGACGTTGATACCTAAATATCTAAATATAATATCAGATCTAGAATTATTTAACTACAGTAAATGTTTTTAAGGTTATAAACATAGGCTTTATACATCCGAAATGATTTTATATTTTATTTTTTCTTTCACACAAGTACAATGAAATAGTTTTTTAAACAATGTCATTGCCTTGATTAGGTGGATTTTAAATACTTTTTTTCAAGCTTAAAAATATTTTTAAAAGTTTACATATAGTTAGTAAATTTCATTTAATTTCCTTGAAACATGTAATTTACGTTAAATATTGTTAGTTTTCAAACAACATTATTATTTATAATTTTTTTGCCACTCTCCGTTATCTTCTACAACTTTCTATATTAGATATATTATACATATACCTTCTGACTAGTATTTCCAGAGATTCATTTTCGACCTGGATAAGCATTTTTATTTTTTGAGCTAGACTGCTAACATATACACACACAGACCATTTTTCGAGACTTGGTTATTTGGATTCAGGGTACCCCAAAACGTGTATTTCCATTGAAAACTCAGATTCAAAAATTCAAGTGATATCAACGGGGATAAGACCTAAATGATATTAAGGACCACTTAATTATACAATGATACACCGAGTTTATTGAAAATCGTTAGAGCCGTTTTTGAGAAAATTGTAAAAATGTATTTCAGCATTCATATAAAATGGCACTTCCGGTAAGCTGATTTTAAGGAAAAAGATGCTGTCACATCTAAGCCATATACCTATCTTAAATACGTAATATCAGTTTTCTACGACTTTTCATTTTCGAGCAAGAGTGTTCACATACACACAGACCATTTTTTGGCACTTGGTTATTTGGACTCAGGATGCCTCAAAACGTGTATTTCCGTTGAAAACTCAGACTCAAAAATTTTCACGATAACAATACTTACACTTACTATATATTACATATATTGGTAAGTCAAAGTAAAGAGCAGAGTAAGAACTATTGCAACTGAATCACTCATTTGTTACAATTATATTTCATAAAACACAATTAACAGTTAATAAATTTGTTTGTAATGATACTGTAGAGGAGAAATTCTTTAAATGTACTTAATGGACCCTAAAACGAATTGATTGAAAATATTATTAAAACAGCAAGATATTAAAAATAAAAGCAACTATTGGTTATAGAGCAAAACTGAGGATGGTCTAGAAGATACTTCAAATAGCAACAGATTAATAGGAAGAACCAAAAGGTAATTATTTATAGCAGATTTCCACATGTAAGCCACAATTCAAAGCCTCCATATATATTCAATCTCTCAATATGATATTTTTATAAATAAACATATCAGTTATTTAATTATATTTTTACACTATTAAATAGTCTGATTAAAAATAAAATAAACAGTGTATTACTAAATATGTAGTAGATTTACAGCCACCGAAATTTTTATAAAAGGTTCAGTTCAGTTAACATACAAATGATAAATTAACTCACCATCGAATAATACGTCCTCGTAGTGGATATCTGCCTTCTTAAGAAGCTCTTTTTCTTGCTCTTCCCATTTTTTACGAAACATTTCCCTTTCCATGTCAGATGATAGAAGCTCAGGAGGCCTATCTTTTATAGTTTCTTCAGCAATAACAGTTGGATTTCTATCCTTCACATCTTGGGTCATTTTTCGATCAATATCTTTCATTGCAGCCAAATCTGATTTATGGCATTTACGAGTACGCCCTAAACAGTCAGTGTACTCAACCCTTAAAAAAAAATAATAATATCAAAAGCAGGTATTCAGAGATAAACATTTAATAATAAGTATTTTAAAAACTAAAACTAACTATTGTTGTATTTTAGTATGTCTAGTAAATTTAATGTGTTTGTGATAATTATTTATAAATCAGAATAGTACATTTGACAGATGGATTTATGATTGACAGAATATAGTAAATTACCTATTATAAACATTTTAAGATCATTACCACAGGATCTAAACGACTTGATTAATTTGTAACTGAAATTAAAAATTAAATAGTAGATGTTATTGTGTTCGTCCAAAAGGAATGAGAAGATTTTGGCAACCGAATGTGTTGGAACAGCACATAAGAATATTTAAGTCAAAAGTGGATGTCAGTTAGATTTCCGGTAAGTAAGAATTGGCTTTGATTTTGGACAAGGTATGTAATGAATCTTAACCTATGATAAAATAAATCTCAACGTTCAACAGAAACTGTTAAAAGGTGAAATTGAGGTGATAAAAGAACATTCCGTCACTTCATCGATACTTACCTTTATGACCAATAATAACTTCAGTATTTTTACTACTTCAATAATACTGTCTGTAATTGACAAAATAAGGACTACTAAATTATTTTATTTTATTTCTTTGTTATATAAAATGAAATGCAGTTTTAACAAATTTAAATATTTTTCATCTCCTTCATAAAATATTAATACTGAATTCATGGAATTATCATTTTGACATGATGTAATGTATATATAAATAAATAAATTAAAAAAAAAAATACTGAATTACTTTAATATGTAAGTAAATGCCCAAGAAAATGTAAATAAAACTATAAAATAAATATGCCTTATTCAGACCTAATTATTGCTGGCAAGTGCAATAAAACGTAAGAACCTATAGTGGGAAACCAATAAGTTAAATGGGAAACACTTCCAGAGGTAGGGGTGACGAAAGGTTTAATACAATTGATACTTAGCCAGTCACTTAGGATATTAAGTGTAAAAATGACATTGTAACCAAATTTCTATGATTTCCAATAAATAACTGCATTCTGTGTCAGCTTTAGCGTACCAGATATCATGATCACACCTCAGATATCAAATCACATCCTGAGAATGGCTGAAAAGTAGACAGAAATAACTGAACCATCTGGTATGGTCCCTACAACCACTGAAAAGGACCTGTTGGTATTTGTTTATCCAATTAAAGCGGAAATCGAAAGCAGCAATTTTAACTGAAAGACCACTAGGGGATTTGCTGAAGTCATGAGTCGCTCCGAATCCCATTGATAGCATGAACGTCTTGGCCAACTGAACAAGGTAGAGTGACATTTGTACAAAGGTATCGACAATTGAACTAATTTATTAAGATTAATTTACATTTATTTAAATATTATATTTAATGTTTTTAATTTTTTCATACCATTCATTATCATCAATATCCTCAGAATAATCATCAGCTTCATAATCATTATCATGCTCAGAGACCTGAGTCGATTCAAAATCACCGCTACAACTTGGTAAATCGGGAGTCTCTTTATTTTTAAAATCCACCAGATAAACTTGCTGCTTTTCATCTGGTACAATGTTACCCTTCTGTAGTTCATCATAAAGCTTTGACTTCACAGCGAGAACTTCTCTGAAAGAAATGAGGATATTTTTAAATAATGTATTGAATTCAGTTGAACAACGATCTCCATAAATAACTTCATTAGTTAGTCATAGGAAATTATATTAACAATAAATACTTTGACTTCTTCAAAAGATCAATTTCTTCAACATCAAGTTCTGCATCCCTCTTATCCCTGTCTTCAACACCGATGTTCTTCTTAACAGGTACTTTGGGTTTTGGAGGTAATTTGACATAAGAATTTGTGCCTTTTATATTCTTAACCTCTTCTTGCTTCCTTGAAAGCTCCGCTTTCAGACTGATTAACTAGTAAAGTAAAACAGAAAACTTAAAACTTACAGCTAACTCAAATTGGAGATGAAAATAATTAATTTACTCGCGTACCGAAGATTTACTGATGTCAATAGTCTTGCCTGATTTCATTTTATTTTAAAAAATAATAAAAACGTGAAATTATCAAATATTTAGCAATTTAAATGACTTTATGTCATAATAGAAAATTCAAATAATGAAGGTTTTAGTGCGGTTTCTCAATCGAGAATGTGATAAGACTGATAACAATCGTTAGTGTCAATCAAAATATTCTGATTACATTAGGCTATTGTTCGGGACCCTTTCATAAAAAATCCTAAACTAAAACAAAAACAATTTAAATTTAACCACGAGTTGTATTCTATAGCAGATATTATTGAAATTAAACTAGTAAAATGAATTTAATTTAAATCGATTTATTCAACATATTTTTCAACGTGGGAGCAAACAGGTTGTCACTTCTCAAGAAGTGTACTTCTACATCATACTTCCAGCTTCTTGAATTTCACAAGTTCGGTTTTGGTATAATAATATGGTAGCCGGTTTAATATATTTATTTTATTTGCGTGTTTGCTAGTGTTTAATAACTGACTAGTGTCATTTCATAAAATTCCAAATGTTAATCTTTAGGAATAAGAGAAAAAGTTTATTATAATTTCTAATGGATAAAGGTAAAGTTAGATTTCTACATCCAGACCTAGGACTGGGAGGTGCAGAAAGATTAGTTGTTGATGCTGCACTCGCTCTTCAAGAAAAGGGTTTTGATGTGAAGTTCATCACTTCTTATCACAATCCTAATCATTGCTTTGAAGAAACAAGAGATGGAACATTACTTGTCACAACAGTTGGAGAATGGATTCCTAGGAGCATTTTCGGACGTTTTTACGCATTATGTGCTTATATCAAAATGATATTTTGTGCTTTATACATTTGCTTCTTTGAAAAAGCTGATTGTGTATTCTGTGATCTTGTCTCTATTCCTATTCCAATTATTCATTTTGCTATTGATAATGTTGTATTTTATTGTCATTTTCCCGATCAACTATTGTCCAAGCCTGAAGGATTTTTAAAATATATGTATAGAATACCATTAAATTGGTTAGAAGAAAAAACTACTTCATGTGCTGATAGAATATATGTCAATAGTTTATTTACAAAATCTGTGTTCAAAGAAACATTTAAGAGCATTAAGAAGGAACCAAAGGTATTATATCCCTCAATTAATACAAGATTATTTGATGAATATATTATGAATAGTGCACAAATCCCAGAGATTAACTTAACTGATGATTGCTTCATGTTTTTGTCCATAAATCGATATGAAAGGAAAAAGTTTGTAGAAAGAAGTATGAATTCTTTTAAAATTGTAGGGGAATCACTTTCTCCAGAACTGTGGAAGAAGACTGTTCTAGTAATAGCTGGAGGATACGATCCACGTGTTTCTGAAAATGTTGAATATTTTTTGGAACTTCAAAGGATTTCAAAGTCGTTGCAAATTGAAAATAAAGTCTACTTTTTAAAATCACCATCTGATTTAGATAAACTATATTTGTTAAATAGATGTGATTGCCTTATTTACACGCCACCTAATGAACATTTTGGAATCGTACCACTTGAAGCTATGTATTGTAAAAAACCAGTAATAGCTGCCCGAAGTGGAGGTCCAACAGAAACAGTTGTAGATGGTGAAACAGGATTTCTATGTGATTTTGATGATTCAAGTTTTGCTAAGAACATGTTAAAAATTAGGACAGATTCTGAGCTTAAAACCAAAATGGGTGCTGCTGGTTATCAAAGGTTTTTAGAAAGATTTTCTTTTAAAGCATTTTCTGATCAATTAGAGGAAGATGTTTCATCATTAGTGAATGATAAAAAATCTCAGTGAGATGCTAAACATGTATCCATCATTTCTTGTTTTAAATTAATGTCTTTTATAATTAGTCCTCCATTTAAGGCATGCATTTTCATAATGTAGATATTCCAGGTTAATAACATCGTTTTAAGCACTTGCATTCAATTTTAAAAATATTTATGTATATGGGGCTATCAATAGCAGAAGTGGCCTGGTCATCATACTTGTCTTATTGAAATAAATAGAAAATATTTTTAAATTATTTTTTTTTTTTTACTCATTCAACTTTCCAAGGAATTCATCAATCATAAAAAAAATAACATATATGCATTTTTATTGGAGGTTAAAAAAGTCAGTACTACTTTACAAGTGTTGCTACCCATTGTAGGAATGACAAGGTCTTATGATCACACTATGAATGGAATCTCCGTTTGGCCAAGTGTATCCCAAAGTAGAGTAGGTGACCAACCCATGTGGTAAGGCCCCCCACCTCAACTGATAAGTACCCATGAGGAATTTTTTGAACACTTTGAAGGGAGCAGAAGACCAAACCATGAATTAAGACATTGATTTTAAGTGATAAGGTTCATTGAAGAGTGCAGAATTCGTAAATCTTGACCTAATTAAAATTCCATGAACTGTCTTCAATATACATTCATATACAAAATCCCGATTATAGCATGATCATGAAGATCTTTGCCTGCTCTCCAAGTTGGAGCAATATGTTTAAAGCAGTACTTGCCAGTAATTTTTGTTATTAAAAACAATGCATGTAAATAGTAGAACTGCATTAAAAAAATAAAATAACTATTTTATTTATTTTTGGTTATGATCGATTCCTTAAAATATTGAAAGGTCGGAATTTCAATCAAGCTATTTTTGTTGGGTTAGCCAATGTTTCGACCCAAACGTGTGGGTCATCGTCAGGGCTAAGAACTACAAAATATAAAATAACTGTTTTATATATTTATTGTTATTTTTGTAATTGTTATTTTTAGACCTAAGGATGACACAGGCTTGGATTGAAACGTCGGTTAACTCAATAAAAATATCTTTACTGAAATTCCTGATACTTTTGTTTAATCCTTATAATTGATCAGTCAACTACTTACCCATCACTATAGTTTTAAGACGTATAAATATTAAATTTTAATATCAATTTTCCAGGAGCATGAATACAGGAATTAAAGAATTGTAATATTTCAAACATTGTTTAATATTTCATTCAGTATTATACAATCAGAATAATAGAAATATATATTATTGTGAAAAGAAACAAAACTCGGTCCAATATAATTCCAAATAAAGCCCACTGGTTCAGCTTATTGTCTGCATTCAATTGACTTTCCTCTTTCATGTGGTAATACTGAGATTCCTGAAATTAAATGAAAGAAAACAGTTTATACAAATATATAAAATGCAATAATATTCTGAATATTGATCTAGTTATTAATTAATATAAATGTGAAGGTCAAGTGATACTAAATATTACAACAATCATTTTGTAACATTAAAAAATTGTTAATTTTTATTATAAAATTAAATAAGGAAGGAGATGGTTCAGGGTCATAAATAGACTAAATAGTGGCAAAACTATTTTATTAAAAGGCCAACATTTCCACCCGACTTTGCAGGTCTTCTTCAGGGAGGTGTGTTCAGCAAGGAGTTTCACTTAGAGCTGAAAGGACTCCTTGCTGAACACACCTCCCTGAAAAAGACCTGCAAAGTCTGATTGAAATGTTGACTTTTAATAAAATAGTTTTGTCACTATTTAGTATATTTATGACCGACCCCTAACCACAATTTAGTATATTTATGACCCTAACCACCCCGGACCATCTCCTTCCTTAATAATAAAACGGTCAATTATTAAGTATTCAATAAAATTAAATAGATCACTTCACTTCATGATGATATATATAACTACGGTTAGTTAATTTTCAAATAAATCATTTGTTTACTATTATTATTTTAAACATAACATTACTCAAAAACTTTATTTCAGCATAATTTAACAAAAGAATTTTGGGTTTCGGTTAATTTACACACTAACGTTACAAAAGCAAATACATATAAAATTGAAAAATTACCCCTAGAATGCAGAACCAAGAATGAATCAATGGATTGCTAACAACACGGTCGAGAAATTTTGAAATGTATTCTTCATGAAATTCAACTTTGTTAATTATGTAGGAGCAAAAAATAATGTGTATTACTGTTAGTAGTAGTAAATTTGAGTTCACTGTCACTAAAACAAAACAAAAAATTGATTATTAATTTAAAAATTCTAATTCAATGTGTTCAGTATGGCCTTGAAAGTCAAATGGATACGTACATAAGTAAGGTGTTGAAGATGGAAGTGCAGGTAGAGCTCTATCCACAGCAATAAGATTGAGGAAAAGTAAGAAAAGACAAGTAGAATGAAGATATAATCTTTTACTAACAAATATTGGCATCCAGAAGCACGCCAAGATAATGAAAATACAAACTGAAAAAAAAAAAAAATTAAATACAGATATTACTTCAATGAAATAATTTTTTTATTAATTAAAGTTATGATTTGAAAAAATAAATTAATATCATTTCTATATTTAATCAATATTGAATGATTAACTTTATAAAAAAAAAAACCTCTGAATTCCACACATTTGTATTTTATAATTATTTATTTGTTTGCCTCTACCCACTAGGGTCATTAGCAATCCTCAACTTAATATTTTATAATTAAAATATATTTTTAACAAGAATTTTAATTTAAACATCTCAGCTCTAAGATTTTATAATATTCCAAAAAAACAAAAATAGTCATAACATCATTATTTATTTTTTAAAAAAGCATAGCAATGTATAGTATACTACTCAAATGCTGTAATTTTTTAATTAAAAAATAAATTATTTTGTTCTTTCCAACATCCACAGATAGCCTTTGAGGAATGAAGAGAAAAAACAAAAACCCATGATATTTTGAATGATTACTAAATTCCCATCAAAGCCAAAAGAAAAATCATCGAAATCAATTTGAAAAAGTTTGTAATCGGCCGAAGGAGCAAAGTGTGTTCAAATATTTTTTTAAGAAGAAACAGAGTTGAGATTTGTATTTTGCACCTCGAAAGACCCTCAAACAAATTTTAATTGCAATCGAAAAATAAACTTTTTATTCTGCAAATTGAAGCCAAGGCTCCCCTTTTGCATTTTTATGAGTCATGAAGAAAAAGAAACTTTATTTGCGAATAACTCAAATTGGACCATTATCTACAAAGATACTGCATTTACTACTTTATTACCGTTTTTTTTTTTCTTTTTTCCTGGCTGAAATATCCTTTATTATTTCTTAAAGGCATTTTTTTGTTGGTACATTTTATATTTTGCAATAATTTAAAGAATCGCATGATTGAGGCCTTATTTTGAATATGAATGGTAATATTAAGCATTTAAATATAAGCCCTAGAAAAGTAATTTGTACAAATATTTTGCTCTATTATTTTAAATGAAATATTGTATCCGACCAAGGAAAACACAATTAATTCTTTCCTCACATAATATATAAGATTTACTAATCTCCATATTATTTTGCTGTTCCTTCACTAATTCTCTGAATTATTAGCATGGGCCGACTAGTACAATATATATATATATAAAAAAAAATAAATAATGGTCACTATTATCAGCTAGTCACTTGAAGACAGTATGGGCTTGAGAAGCAACCTCTCCCAATTATTAATTTTCTGATACAGCCATCCCATTTTCCATATACTATTTTGTTAAAAATATATCAATACAATTTTTTATATGAAAAACAGGCTAAATTTTCAGAAATATATTGTCAATTAAGGCTTTCTGGTCTAATATGTTATATTAATCATTTGCAATGGTAAGGACATACAAATGGCAAACATTGGCCAAATATAGCGGCCACACTATCTGACCAATATGAATCATTCAACACTGGCAAATGTTATCCACATGCTTGACCATAACTAACTACTACAACCCAACTAGGGTCTTGGGGTGTTATTATTTGATTAGTGGTGATAATTCTTGAACAATCTAGGATTTTTTTCACCCTACTCTACCTAGGGAAATAAGGGTTTTTACAACAGAGGGATGTTACTCATATCAGTGTGAAAATCCACTACTATAAGTAAGCCATTAAAAATTACATCGGGATGTTCCCACAGTCTGTTTATTTTATCTCTTAGTTTAGCCATTCTCTTCTGTTCAATGGCCTCCCTCGTACAATTCCTTATATCCTTCCCAAGGAGAAGAAGACTGAATACACAATTTTCTTCCAATCATATAAAATCCTTAAAGTGTTGATTATTTTCTTAACTAAATTTCTAGGGGAACTCTTTCTCCGTTAAATCATAGAGCGCAGTTTCTCTCATCAGTTTGGTCATAAGTGTCTCAGAAATGGTGCAGACTACGATTACATGTCTGGTGATCCCTAGCACTTAGCAATTTGAGGTATAGGAGATGGACAATTTTTTTTTCTTTCTCTTTTCACCTATACAGGGTTTTCTCAGGGCAGAAGATTAATTTAAGAGTTAAAAGTCCACCCAGCACCAGGATTTGAACACGTAATCTTTGGTTTATCAAGTTGCTGGGCATTGAGTAAACCCGCTTAGCTCATCACACTCAACTGCCAAGTTAATCCACCAATCCCTTGAAGGTATTCTCTTACCAGTTTCTCGGTTTTCTCTAGTAGACTCCCAATCCAATAGTTAACCTACTTTTTTTTTTCCAAGTGACAAAATGCACCATGGCCATAACAAGTTTATTGTGAGCCCTAATTCAATGCTGTTCCTTTTAAAACAACTTTTTGTTGTAGGGGAAACAAAATAAATTATTTTCCATAGCTAGACTTGAACCTAGCCCAGAGTTTATGGAGTCCAGCATGTACATTTCTGATGAGATACTCAGATATCGGTCTATTGCTATTATATAGATAAACTGCAAAGACATGCTACAAACTATTTTTTTAAATAAAGCTGAATGGTTCTATATATTGTAATGTCAACATTACATGGCATTTGGATAGTGGCGCAAAGGTGGTGATGGCGCGAACTACGGGAAGAAAGTGGGGGAAACAAGCTTCATGCAAGGCAGAAAGGAGAGTGCGACGGGCCGCCAAGAGGGAAGGTGCTAGCGGCTAAGAGAGAAGATCATGAGCCGTCAAGAGAAGGAGACAAGCGGCCAAGGGGAAAGGTGCCAGCCAGCAAGTGGAGAAATTAGGAAAAGGAGTCTTAGCCGGTTCGAGTGTTGACAGAGGCCACTAAGGAAGATTATTTTATGTTGTCAGAAAGAATATAGCAGAAATTAATTAAGTGGTACAGAAACATTAAGTGGACAATCGTAAGTAAGAAGAGATTATTTCGCTGGCAGGCGTCAACATTTGGGTGAGTGCTAACAATACCATTTATGTTGACAAAGGGATAGAACCAAAAGTTTAGACTGGGACAAATTATTTAATAAAATATTTTAAATTATAAATAAGTGTAGTAGTAATTAATGAATTAGTGTACATTGTCTTTATAAATAGGAATGAGTGTTCAGGTGTCAGAACCCAACCTTGAGATTATGTTATATGTGTAAAATAAATAAGATATTCAAAAAGGAAACTCGTTTGTTTGTTTTTGTTCCTTTTGAAAACGTTACAATATCGAGTAAAAAGCCTGACCAATCACACACAGTGTAATAATAAATGGAATAATTACCAAAAGTAGGTAACACAAAGGCATAAAGGTGCATCTCAACCTGTCTTTTAAGCCTGACAGTTATAGTGAATGCTTTTGGAACTTCACTTGATTCATCGTAATTCCAAGGATTGACAATTGTTGATGTCTCGCCAATCAGTGAAACTATTTTCCATTCTAAGTCCTTCAGTATTAGTTCAGGCTTAAAAATAAAACAAATTTAATGTATCAACAATAAAAAATGTAAGAAACAAAGTAACAACAATGTATCTAAATAGCCTCACCTTCACATTTTTTGAGGAAAGAGAAACGCTGACATGATCCGGATGAGAATGCAGCCCAAGACTAACATTACAAGTGTGGTCATCAAATGGCCAATTTTTCAGATCCAGACCACACCAAGTTGTAAGTTTCGCTTCTGGAGACCAACTCACAGTCCCATTATTATAAATCCTAATCACAGCTCTTTCCATCGGTGAAGAACCATCATCTTCGGAGCTTAAAATGGAACGATTATATTTGAGAAAAATTAAATGTGTATTTTTCTATTATTGGTAACAAGTAGTACAATACAAATATTCTTCAGTTATAAATCAATTTCAGGAAAGTTGCATTCTATTAATACTCAGAATTTATCTAATATTTTGATATAGCTATAGAGATCAAATAAATTAGTCAATGAAGCAAGAAGATAACTGTTTCATGATTTCTGCTTCTGATCTCAAATTTATTTACTTTAAAAAGCTTATTCATTCCAGAAAAGGTTGAAATAATGATGGCTAAGCACCAGTGATTGACTCGAACGATTATCTAATTCTTTGTTTTGCTCATCAACAGCTATGTTAAATCATAACAAGTGCTTATGTAAAGGATTGTAAAGGAAGGAGATGGCCCGGGGTGGCGGTCATAATTAGGCTAAATAGTGGCAAAACTATTATGTATATTTATGACCGCCACCCCGGGCCATCTCCTTCCTTTATAATGCAACGGTCAACTATTAAATATTCAATATGCTTAGATTATAGATTGTGATACATCTTACATAAGAATAAAGCACTGAAGCATAAAAATTATTAATCTTAACAGTTCAGTTAATAACATGAAAAATATATTGGTCTTTGAGACAATTTTTCTGCATAAGAAATATAATAAGAGCAAATATCCTTTTAACTTAGTAATAGTTATGTTGATATTGCTATGCCATATAATAGGAAAATATTTAATTTCAACACAGAAATAATATTCTTGATAAATCTTTAGTAAGATGTATGTGTTCGGGTATAAAAGTATGAACATAATAACTAGATAATGACATTTAAAAAATATATATAAACCTAAAGAAATCTAGCAGCGGATGCCTTCAGCTATTACCTACTTGTATAATATGAAATCAGGTAACCAAATTTCACGATGCAACAAAGTAATACTTGATAAATTCCCAAAATCCATCGGATTCCATTGCAGCTTGGGATCAAACCAAGTCTAAACAGAGAAAAACAATATTTTAGATAATAAAGAATATATGTATGATTTATATTGGAAGATTACTATGTTCCCATTAACAAATATTGGAATTTCTTGCAACTCTCCCTATTAATAGGAATTAAAATTAAATGAATTAATTACTTCTGGATCAACAAAGGATAATCTAACAATAATCTTATTTAGTTCACTCTGCTTGCATTTATGAATTAACTTTAAGAATAAATAATGATTTACTAGATATATTGTACATAGATAGTCATAAAAAAACTAGAATAAAATATAATAATGTGTCTCATCAATAAAGAAGTAATAATTGTAATACTTACAAAATAAAATTTTCCATGAGTTGTCAAGATTGATTTCTTGGCATCCTAAGATTTAAAAATAAAAATAATTAATTATTACACTTACAATCCTATCATTTTGTATAGTTAAATTTGAATACTTCGTTCTATTAGGTTCGAAATAATTAAAAATATAGAGAAACAGTAAATCCACAACGAACCCTTTTTATTTTGTAGTGGATTTAGGTTTTAAATGAATACATATGTGTATTATAAAAATTACTGAAATAGTATAAAAACTTTCGTAATGATTACCAGATAACTATTATTTACAAATAAAAAATTAGAAACTAAAGAAAGAAATATATATATATATATATATATATACATCTTTTATCTTAATAATTAAAAAATTGAAAATAATTCAAACCAAAGATATGTATTGTAGCTCAATTGAAGTGTCAATAGTCATTTTGTCAATGTCACTCGCTGGAACTGCATAAGGGTCATAACTAGCCAGAAGTTGTTTCCTCAACTTCTTCAGAGGAGTAATCTGTTCGGGAACAGCAGTAGCACCTAAGATGTACATGTACTTTCCTAGAGATATTTATCTACATTACTATTAAATCTAGTAATGGAATTTTGTGGAACATAACAAACCTTTACAATCAAAAAGCCATTTGCCAGAGACTGATGTCCAGGAACTAAATGAAATATATTTTACAAATAATGGTGAGCTATCTTCCCAGGCCATGAGAAGATACCACTTATTGTTGTTCATATAATATACAGAAACAATAGAATCTTTAATGGCTACCTGTAATAAAATTTGATAAGTTAATCTGTTTTATAAACATGACAGCTAATAACTAGAAAAAATTGTGTTTAAAACTTTATTCTAAATAAAAAAATAGGAAATTAATTCATCATCCGCTTAATCTGTTATAAATAAATTAGCAATTTAACAATATAATTTAAAAAATATTTTTGTTTTGTTTGCTAAATTTTTCGTCTTATTATTATTCCATTTTTTTGTTGTAATCAAATATTATATTCATTGAATTACTTTGTATTAAATTTAGATAAATTGATCAACATGAAAAATATATTTTTACATTAAGTAAAATATACATATTTTTATTTATCCTGATTAAATAACCATACCTGGTATTTTTTCACTTTTCATTAGAACACAGATATAAATATTTTATTTAGAATTTATATTCAGACATTTTTAATTGAAATGATAAAACAATAAGGTATAATTCATAGTTTATCTAAAACTTTATTTTTTTTTTATTTGATTGATTCATACTAACTGAGAAATTTTTTGGCTGCATTTGAGAAAGTATGTTTTTTGTCAATAAATGAGTTTTAGGTTCCATTTTGTGACGATTATATTTCCTGATTTCAGAAAACTCATTACCACCAGCCCCAAGCACTACTTCATAAGCAAAATAGACGTTGGTTTGTTCAGAAAATAATACATGACCATTGCTCACGGCAGCTAGAGAGAAATTAAACACTATCTTTCCATTTTGGAATGATGACTGAGGAAGATTATAAAATTTGCGGTATCCATAGCCATAGGTATACACATTTTGACAGTTTGCATCTATAACAATATTAAAAATAGAAGATAAATATAAGCGAAATATGAGAACATATGGAGTGATCAAAATTGAAGACAAAAATTACCTGGATCTTCCAAAGCACCTAATGAAAACTTAACTGATAATAAGAACGTTACTAATAGCTTCACTGACATTTTAATATGATATCAGAATAAGGGAAGTTTTTATCACTGTGAATGCAGGAATGGACATCCTTTTGATATCAAAATAAATACTAACAATCAGTGAGCCAGTAATGTGGCTTTGTGTAATCTACAACTATAATGATAAGTAGTTGTTACACACTTCCTGCAACTATATTAAAAGGGGAGAACATACTTACAATCATTGTTCAAAATATTTATATTTGTCATAAAAAAATAACATACTGTACATAAAAAATATCTCTGATACTACATAAGGAATGATGTTTGTCTTCTATATTAGAATTGTGTTTTCATTTTAGAAGGAAACTTAAATCTGAACCTATGAGATATTCCTTGGGTTCTGCATTTCTAAAAAAAAAATAATAATAATAATAAAAAAAATGCATATATGAGAAAATCAGAATTTCAATTTTAATTCCATTAACACTAGACATAAGGCTATATATAAATATAAATTAGATAAATAGGCATGTTTTTGAAATTTAAATTTTTAAAGAGAGCATAAATTAAAATGATGAAAATATAAATTAATATTTGATTAATCCTGTTCTATTTGCTTCAATATACTTCATCCAATATTTAAATCACCTACTGTCAATCATCATGAATAGATATTGAATTTTTTAATATTAATTCATTTTAAATATAGTGACAGGACAATTTATATTCATAGCAGTTTAAATAACTTGATTTATTTTCAAACATAACATCAAAACCAAAGACTGAATTTTTAAGTGATTGATTTTATATGAGATGATTAGTTTCAGAACTAGTGAAATCCATCTTTAAATTTTTACAGGAAACATCAAAAACATATGATTTTTCCCAATTTGACTTAGACGACCTGAAGATCTTGAAACAGTTTAATAGCGAATAAGAGACTTTTGGTACATATGGCTTCACTAGATGGTGCGGTGCATTGACATATTATGAAAAATAACATTTGAGTATAATATATTCCTATTAATGGTGCCCGCCCAACAGGGGATGGCCATGTTGTTAGTTGTCTTATCAACATGTTTTAGCACATTTTTACGGGATTCATAAGTTATGAGAACAATTTGATGGGGTTATGAATTTTTAATTACAAAAACAATACATTTGTAGGGTTTTCATTTGAAAGAACTTTCAAACCAGAAAACAACGGAAAAACTGAAGCAGACAACAATAAGTAACTGTTTATAAACTACAATTTTTTTTTAAATTCTACTTTTGATTGCAATATTTTTAGGGAGAGAATAATAAAATTTCTTAGTAGGGAATGGTTGGACAATTGACAATAGAAGAGATGAGAACTTCTTAACCATATTATGGAAAAACACATTTTTAACTTTAATCACTTATATATAAAATATTTATTTTAATAATTTATGCCCATGTTATGTTTAAATATTATGAAAACTTTTTAGATCCCAATGAAAATATAAAATACAATAGATGAAAAAAATTGTGTTAAGGTTGACATTAGAAAAACATCAATAAAATATTTGTGACAAAATTTTAATATGAAATATAGTATTGTTATTTTAAAAATAAAAACAAATCTTGAATATTTTAACCATTTAATTGAAAATAAGAATACTATAATAAAAATACTTGAAAAAATATATTGACATACGGCATGAATAATTTTGCACTGGTCAGTCCCTCTAATATTACGGAATCATCGTCAACAAATAAAAGACTTCCTTCTTTCAGGCCAACTACAGGTGTTCCAGAAATTTCATGATACTCTTTAATTCTTTGATCTCTCGTTTCCTGTAATACAGTATACAATTTAAAACATGGCTAAAAAATAAAATACATATCGATTTTCAACTTATAACTTTATTGGTTAGAAACTAATCGCTACTGTTAGTGCAAAAGGTTGTATATAAAAATTTAGCGTTTTACGGGAGAGGATAACAACTGCCATTTCTTTAGGAATTATTAGCATTATTTCATATTTTATTTACCTCTGCTATTTTTCATGATAGTAGACTATTTATAGCAACTGCAGACAACAAATTGTTACCTTTGGCACAAATAGAATAAAAATGGAAAATTTTTATAAACAACCTTTTGCATATATAACAATAGTAGCGTAATATGATACAAAATACTCTAAATGCTAAATTATCTTTAAGGTGCATACATTAATTAATTCTAATAACTTACACCCATATGTTTCGAGTTCGCCTCGTGCTCAAGATAATGAGGATTGATATTGAATGGGACTAAACCAAGGGCATCGAAAGAAGGAGGAAAAACTATTGGCATATCATTGGTTGTGCAGATGTTAACAGTAGCAACATTAGTACCTGCACTTGCACCAATGTATGGGATTCCATCCTGATAACAGATTTACAATATTGACACAGACTGAAACATTATTAAAATATAGGAACACTGCTATCATTTAACTGACCAACAGAACTCGATTTTTTATTGCTTCTATCAAGTTGAAATCATAAAGTGCCTTTAAGAGGCGAAAAGTATTTCCTCCTCCTATAAAAATAGCTTGGCAAGCACCAACTGCAGCGACTGGGTCTTTGGAAGTGTGAATTCCACTAAGATTGACACCTAAAACATGAAAGGATCAATTATAACTGGCGAACTAATATGAGATAATTCATTAAAACATAAAAGTGCACCCACCCATCTTGTTAAATGCATTCTTCACTTTACTAGTGTATTCATCATGATGCTTGGAGGCATAGGGTATGAAGAGAACTTTAGACACTGAAAACCTTAAGAAAAAAAGCAGGAGTAAGACCTAAATGAAAATCATACATAAAAACTAATTGTAGGTATGTGGAAAAAAGATGTTGAAGTTTATAATTAATTTATAATCGAACTACGATTACAAATTCTACACAAAATGAAAAATAAAAATTGAACAATTAAAATATATATGTAATAACTTTTTCAGGAATGGTTCAATATATTCCGCAGCCCATTCAAAATATTCTGATCCATGTAAAGTAGAATTAGATAGCAAGGCTAAGTTCCTCATTTTCGTATTAACAACCGATTTGCACCACATAAACGTTAAGATACAAATGGGTGGGGTCCTAATACTTAAATTACAGCCGAAAAGTTAAATAAACACCTATATATCGAAAAAAAATTATGTCTATATCGATATTATTTTTCAAAATTATATTTCAATTATTTTGTTGTTATAGTTCCAGATTTCCTTTTTGATCAATCTTTCAAAGACTACAAATACGTATAATAGATGTATCGAAATATTAATATTTTTATAAGAAGAATCAATCATATTAAAAAATGTTGGATCAATATAGATTGGTTTTTTTCCGAAATATTAACCTTCAAATTTAAAAATAGCGGTGTTTTATGAGAGAAATTTTATTTTAATTTCAAACAAATTCCATAGCAGTAGAACAGTCTACATGGTGCTGAACAAATAATGTATTGAGGTGATCTAATGAAATTTTATGATGAATCCTTTATCCTAATTATATAATATATTAAAATTTCACTTCAGTGCTAGAATAAGGGATTATTATGGATAAAGCTGAGATGTATGGCATCCTAGTACTTTTTGGATCTAAATTTGTTAATCAGCTACTAAAAGTACAATTCAATGAAGTCCTTATAGTCTATTTAGTCATAAAATAATAAATTAACGTTTCCACCCGAAAAAAATAATATGTGAATAAAAATTTGTTTTATTTAGAAAGCACCAAATCCCTGACTTGGATGTTACATTAATTTAAATGTAAGGAGTGAATCGAATAAAATATCAAGGCTTAACATTTGAAAGAAAAATAAATGTAGCTTCATACATAACTAATCTCAAAAATAGTTAGAAATCGTTTACGGATATTCTCACTTGGGGCTTAAACTCTTCTGTGGTCTCTTGTCTCTTTTTAAGGCGTTCATTGTTGTGTAGATTCTTCCTGATGGATTGCTACAAGCTACATGCCCAGCCTATCTCAACCTCATGCCTTCAAATCATGAAATGTGGATTGACCAGTTTCTGTAAGCAAAAAGTTCTTTGTTGATATTTTTCTAAGTTTGTTTCCAATACGTTATACGGATGAAATAAAGTACAAATCATAAGAAGGATGGTACAAGGATAAGGAGGAAGTTTTATTAACATTATATATAGTGGTCATACAATCAAACATGATATATGCAATATAAATTTGGTCAAAAGAACTGTTACATAAAAAAAAAATTAAAAATATTCGAAAACGTTAAAAAATTGTTAGCCATAAAAATCATTAAACGATATTAGAAAATATCTTATGATACATTTTACCATATTTTATATTAGTAGACTAGACTGGAAAAAGTCTGACACAAACTGGCCTCTGCAGTCATGTTGAGCGGAGACCTTCAGCCGCCTTCGAAGAAGAATCTAATTGAAAAATTTGTAATTTATTTTCGTTATTAATTACCTCCTCTTTATTAGATTTATTCGGAACAGTCTAGCCCTTGCGGATGAGGGTCTTGTAGATTCTTTGTTCGTTTAAGGCCAAATGAAGATTCATCCTTTCTTAGAAATATGTAATTGTTTTGAATTCCACCAATAAATTTAGAATCTAAATGTTAGTTTTATTATTATTTTTTTAAATATCTTGAGTGGTATTTTCCAGTGAAAACATACAGTAGCAGATAAAATAAGAATCAACCATTCTATCAGCATCAGAGAATATGTAGCAATATATAGATGACTGGTAGCAGTGGATATGCCTTTGATTTAATCAATGAAATGAAAAAAAAAATGACAATAATTTGAGGATAGAATGTATTTTTTTTATTAGTCCTTAAAACATATCTTAAATAGCCTCAATATTAGGAAAATAAATCTTTAAGCGTTGATAAATTCTATATCCGTTTTTCGGAAAGCTGGTCTGTTTTATTTAACCAATTGTTTTTACTCCTGCAGATACTTACACTTTATAGTGTGATTTTAGTCAGCAAAGACTGTATAGGACAAATTTTTGAAACTTTATTAGCAAGTACATCCTGAAAATGCTTTCATTTTCTCTTCTAAATCAGTTCACTAAACTACCTTACGTATGTGAGAGCTTCTTGCACTAGTTTATTTTATGTTGTTTTGTTTTAGTCTTATGAAATGACCGATGGCAAATTGTTGAAGCATTATTAAGGTTTTTATTCAATGGCCGTACCAAGATCCCAATATCTTTTTAAGCAGCATGTTAATCAGAGCTAACCCAGGAAAGGTAGCGTACGTCAAAATGATGAAGTTTCTGCATGATCCAATTAGTTTCCCGGTATTCACTTCTTTTGGCACTCCTTCTTCTCAGCAGTGCTATCTCCAACTATTTCAGAAGTGATCCTCGACGGTGTAAACGTCTCACAACAGCTAAGTCTGTTTTTATTATTTAATTGAGGCAACATCGCCTAAATGACGAAGTGATGCCTTTTCGTATCAATCCTTCTTTGGTAGCTGTGAACTCTACCGTTTAAGGCAATTCATTTATTGGTCTTACAGATACGACAGCTTTTTTGCTTACTTACTGTTTCATTATCGTCACTGAATAAAAAAAAGGTAGAAAAATCTATTATGAACCTGTATTTTCCCTTTGCCTAACCAGAACGGCATTGTAAAAGGTAAAAATAAATTTTTAAAATGAGAGGAGCACGACACACACCAAGTACGAGAAAACTTCTCAGTGTCAACATTATGTACGGTCCTACACAGAAATGTAGAAACGTGTTTGAGCGAATTGATTATTTGAAACAGGTTTTCACCGAGTTTCATTTTATTACTTCTATTTATTTTATTTTTAATATTATATAAAATAAAAAAAATCGTTTGTTAACATTTAGCTCCCATACCTCCATATAAAAAGTTTTTGTCTGAATAAATTTTCGCAAACTGACTTCTATACTTTTATTAATTATATTATTATGGTTATTTTTGTCGTTCTTTCGATCGGTTTAGCTAAATATATCATAAAATGGTTAATAAAGAGTTATCTGAGTTACAGATTAGAAGAGAAAAAAAACAAGGATCCCTAATAATACAAGAAGGAACTGATTCGTCAATTTCAAGAAGCTATAACTTTAATGTATGTCACAACAGAGATACCTTTGCCGAGTTAAAGAGTGTTTATCTAATTTCCTCCTTTTAATAATTACATGATTCCTTTTTTTTATCACTATAACCAAAAGTAATAGAAAAGAACAGGCTTTCGAAAGAATTCTGTTCAGTCTTTAAGATTTCGAATCTTGAGTGTTCTCCTATCTTAGTATGTGATTATCTCTTTGTAGTGTTGTATTTCAGGTTACAAACACTTACAAGTGAGGTTATAAAGCAGTGTTATAAATTATATTAATCTCTACAAGCATTCAAATTTAATTCATTATGGCGATACCTTTATTTCCTACTTTGACGCCACGTATAGTTGATCCCCTGTGGTTTAGTGTTGATAAAGCTTTGAATGATGAAACAGAATTAATCCAATTGGAACTGGAACACAGGAATTGGGTATACTTCTCATTCCATTTTTTAATTTACTGGTATTTATACTTTTAAAGATTCGATAAAGTTACAAACAAAAGAAAGAGAAAAAGATACTGGTTACAATGTGATTAACAAATTTTACTTAAATTAATTGTGTATTACTTTTATATATTTTTTCAAATAAACAAGGGAAAAAATATTTTTAATATATAAATGGAAGTTTCATAAAATAAAATAAACTCACTACCCAATCAATGTTTAGCCAATTCCGAAATGTTCAAAACATTATCACATAAACATATACATCAGGTAGCAGATTCCACAGTTATTGTGCTTGATATACTTATGTTTTTTAAAATTGTTATTTAAATAAAAAGTAATACTGTAGGAATATCATTCCAAGTTCATGGATTGATCAAGATTCCATGACCACACCCTAAATGAATCCTAAGAATGGCCGTGTGTGTTCTAAAGTAGATGAAAGTGACAACCGTCTGATAAGGCCCCTAACTCAAGTGAAACCTATCCAAGGGTTTTGCTCATCCCTTCCAAGCAAGCATAGCAACTGGGGGTCGAATGCAGTAATTTAATTAAAGTTAATCAATATCTGATTTTAGTGGCTTGTGGGAAGTTTGTCGAGGTTGTGAATCCTGATTTAAATAAAGGGAGATTATACTGTGAACCCATTGTCCCCATTGAACCCAGTACTTGGCTATTCTCAGAATCCCATTTTTATTGTGAAGACAAGATATTGGCCCTCTAGAGAAGGTGGAGTGGTACCAATTAAAAGACAATCAATACTCCTAATTCCTTTTATCATCTCAATTTCATGTTAGAAACAATAGAAATTTTTTGTGATTTGTATAAATCAGTTTTTCAAATATTTTACCTTCATATTATAATTATTGTTCGGTATATCAGTTGACTATAATTAATGGATTTAATTCAATTTTAGCTCACCAAAATTTCTCAAAAAGATTCCGATCTCATACCAATTGGAAAAACTGCTACAGAGGTATGGAGTATTTGCATTAATAATATTTATTTAATAGTAAACAATATACTTGCTTTTATAGTAAATTACTGTCTGATTTTTCAAAGAGAGAAGAAGAAGAGGAAGAAGAAGAAGAAGACGATGATACAAATGATGACGAAGAAAGTGAAACTCAGGATGATGAAGATGACGAGATGGAAGTTGATGTACCTTATGATCGCAGTGAAGCTCCACCAGGGTAACGTTATTTTTGATTGGTGTATTTTAATTATCAACTAATTCTATTAGATTTAAACAATCTTTTGTCTTGAAAATCTGTTGTAACTAACGTAATTGTATTTGAAAATTAAAAAATTCAAAGGAGATAAGATGACAAACTGTTTGGGTATTCTTTTAAGTTAAATGATGAGTGTGAGGCTGAAATAAATTTTAATCATAAATATTTTTGGGTTCATACTCTTGACCTTTTTTCATTAATTTTTTCCCACCAAACCTTGTTTACTATGAAATTTAAGAAAACAATCACTTTTCAATTATAATGCTTTCATTTCTGTTTAGACTTTTCAAGTATGCTTATTCCTCTCTTTAGTATCTGACATGTCCCATTGGGCATTGCGTGACTCTAAAATTTAGTTTCCTCAACGAATTTTGGCAACTTTTGTTAACCATAAGGAAAAATCACAGTCTGTTAGTATAAGCAAAAAACTAAATGGAGAACCTTTTGGGCAGAGCTTAGGCTGGAAGGTTATTACCAATGAGGGGAAAGGCATTGTCCTTTTAATTAAATAAGATTAAAGATAAATAAGATTTTATTTTTTCTTTATATATGTTTTCATTTTTTTTTTTAGCAATGAATGAGAAAGAAGACACGGGACCATTATACTACTAGATATAGCTAATTATACATATTTGCATATTCAACAAATCATTTTTATTGTAATAATCTATTTTAGAATAAAAACTATAATTAATATTTTATTATAAGATTTATATTTAGTGAAAAGAATAGTAATAAGAGTAACAATTTCTGGAGAATGAATTAAATAAAGTAGTATATGTTAATATGGTTCTAGTACCCATGTCAAGAATTTTCATTGTCACTTATAAAAACTGTATTAAAATTGAAAAATTTTTGTTCATCAAACCTTATTAGGGCTGTAATATTTAAAAAGAAATTAACTGAAGATATAATTATGTATCATATTTTGTTTTTTTTATTTGTTCACTTGAATATTATTGTAAATTTTTAAGCGATCGATGTAAATATAGAAGTTAGGAGAAGAAAACTTGTATTTCTGAACAAATTATAAGTTAAAGTTTTTAAGGCTGTTGAAATAATAATAATAATTATCAAGATCATAATGAGTTATTTTTATTTATTAGTTCCTCTTAATTGTGTACTAAATTCCTAAACATTCTTGTTCTAAATTATTTGTGTCCCTGTATTAGGATTATTTATATATCTACATAAATAGTCCTAAAATTATTTATATGAGTTTTATAATTATAAATTACCTTTAGAAACTCTTTTCTGGAAGGAAAATATATTCTGAAATGATCATGGACGAGATTGAATTTTATCTGTGAGCGAATGAGATATTCAGCAATGAATTTTTGTTCTATTGGTAAATTCTAGCTGTTCCAGTATCCGTAACATTGGTAAATCATGACTGACATACAGAGTTTTCACATTGATGAAGAAGTTTATTTATTTTTAGCAAGGAAAACTTTCAGATATACAAGCATTTTGTTTATTTATTGATTTACATGTCAAGTTCGCGTTTCGAGCAAATTATTCTCATCTTCAAAATTTAAATTCCATACTTTTATAGCGATTTATGGCTAAAGTCTGATGTGCTCCTTTGTCATGATTTGAAATTTATGTGTTATAAATATAATAACAATATATTATCTGGAGCATCAACATTTCTAGGACTAATAATTAAGTGTGAGGGAACACCCCATAGCAGACACCCAATTATTAGTCCTAGGAATTTTAATGCTCCAGATAGTATATTTTTATTGTATTTATAACACATAAATTTCAAATCATGACAAAGGAGCACATTAGACTTTAGCCATAAATCGCTATGAAAGTATGGAATTTAAATTTTGAAGATGGGAATAATTTTCCCGAAACATCAACTTGACATGTAAATCAACATTGAAAATATGTAAAGTTTTCATTACCGAAAATAAAGAATATTATACAGCTTTCCAACAAAAAAGGAAAGAAGAAGAAGTTTCCGTTTTAGGGAAATTCCAAAGTTGAGAGAGAAAAAAAGGAAAACAATTTTTATCAATCAAAGCCTAATATGACCCGAAAAATCATGTCAAGACATCAAAACAAACAGACAATCATGAGAAATAATTGTAAAATTAGATGCAAATCTTACATACAATTTATTATATTTTTCTATGATACAAATTTTAAAAAATCAAGCGAATTATTACAGTACATTTGAGGTAGTAGGTTCAGAACTCCACAATGTACAAATTTCTTACAATGTTTTCCTTCCATTTCGCTTCATTTTTTTCTTTTGAATATTATCCTCACTAGTGAATGTCCTGTCAGTGTCTTACTATATAATTCCAGAATGGCACCAAAATGAAAATTGACTGTGGAGCAAGCGAGGGAGAAGGAGAGAAAATATTCATGAAAAAGGAGAGAGAGAGAATTGAAAATGAGCCTGCGCTTGCAATGATTGAAGCCGAAAAAGAATTGAAAAAATATGAAATGAAGAAGATAAAAAAAACATTTGAAGCTTCTAAAAGATGTGCCAATTAGGGAATTAAAAGCAAAACAACAGAAGTGGAAGGTTAAAGAAAAAAAATCTTATTATAAGAAGAAACTTCGAGGGAGTGTGATTACTTAAAGTAAAAAATTTATCAAGTAACGGTATTAATTGTTCAGCAACAGGTAGAGGACACCAAAAAGAGTTCTGAAAGAAAAATAGTGCAAAATTAAGGATCAGTTGGTTCGGAAGAATAAAAAACTGAAAAGAAAACTTTAAGCTCAAAAAGCAAATAAATAAATGAAGGCAAAACATTTGTGGCTACAACGAAATCTCCGTAATAAGTTTTTCTGGATAATTATTTACAAACGACAGTTAAAACGGCGAAATTTATTGATTTCAGTGATAATATGAATAGTGAACAAATTTTGTTTTTTTAACGAGGCTAAGTTAAAAAATTAAATTTGCAGCCTGGGCGAAACTGTACGTACCAATTGTACATATTATTATTTGTATGTTGTAATTAAAGCATAATTTTTTCCACTAGGAAGTGCCATTATTTAAAATATTAAATCATACACTTTTTATGCAATATTACTTAACTATTTTTGGAATTAAGTAAGATTGAAAAGGGATCTACTTTGATAAATTTTAACCTTCCAAAAATTAAAAAATAAATGTATCTCTTTGCTTAAAAATTGTTGCTTGAAGTAACCAACGGCTTACAGTGAATCTCTCATAAAATCAAATTATTTGAACTTATGTTTTATATTTTATGAAATTTACTTAGTAGCCATTTATATTATAGTTTAATTTATTCCGTTAATAATTAATAATTTGATAAAGTTTTTGTAAAATAATTTATAGAAGGTGCGAATTGTTGGGTTGATAAAAGTAAGAATGGTTTATGAGGGTTAGGTGAAGGAAGTGTAGGAACATTCACCCCTGAGGCAATGCCCCTTGTTGCCCTATATAGGGCCTCACCTAAGGGTATATCTTTCTTTATCATCTTTTTATTATATTTAATTTCATTATTATTTTTTTTAATGGCATCAAATGTTCAATAAATGTTTATATTGAAAAATTAAATTGATATGGAAAATTTCTTTCTTTAATTATGAAATATTTCTTTAAATATACATTTTTTAAAATATACTGCAAAATTCGCCGATCATTTATTATACCTCTGTTCTTTTCCATAATTCAAGTGAATTTTTACATCACTTGTGACAAATTAATCGAAGCCCTAATTTGCTTTTTACTAGAAATATTTTCTTCTGTCCCTTTTGAGGAATAAATGCTGTTAATATGTGAGGTTGAGTGAGAGGTGCCAATGCTCCTTGTCACTAGCGGATCCAGGATTTAATTTTGGGGGGGGCTTCAGCCCGAAAGCTTTTTTTTCATAAAAATAACGATAATTGCTTTAGAAAAAAAGAAAGAAACTAACAACCTGTATGAAATGGTGTTTAAGTGATTCCTAAAGCCCTTTTAATATTAATGACACGAAAAATAATACTTTAAGAGATACTTTTTTAATATTTTTTTTCGATAAAACGTGGTTATATTTATCATTTTGGGGGGGGGGGGGGGGGCTTCAGCCCGAAAGCCTCCCCCGTAGATCCGCCCGTGCTCCTTGTGCGTTAACACATGACCCAACCTCATTGGTGCCAACCAACCTCATTGGTCAACTTGACGTGCTTTGCCAAATGTTGAGCAGAATTATTTGATTTGTTTAATATAAAAGCTTTGGTCAATTTAATACTACTTTTTTGCCCAAATTAAGAATTACTACTGTTTCAATCTAAGAAAACGTTCGTGGTGTTGGAAATTACCAGTTTCAAGGGCCACGAGACGGAAAGTTTGGCCCATCGCTGGATGTTCGATGGCGAATCTGGATTCAAGTGGAACGGGTGATAAAACGCAATAGAACCAAATATTTTAATAAACAGGCGTAAAAATTAAGGGTACCTGGAATGAAAAGTACAAATATTAGCGTAATATACTATGGATGACGACGTTAAAGTATCAAGCATTATGGTGTCATATACACCATGATCGTTCATTCTTTCAACGTAGGACTTTTCTATATGTTTTTTTAAGAGGAAAATAGAGACATTTTAGGTAAACTATGTTTCGACCTAAATAAATTGAACAGGAACCCTGTCCGACGATTTAAGTATGACGTCATAAAAGATTTTGGCTGATTACAAGTAGAAAGGGGCAAAGGGAAAACGATCCGACGGCGAAGTTCGAGAATTTTATTCTTTTCTTAGATGTTTTTATTAATATGGTGAAAAGGAATCTCTTCTTTTAAAAATTTACTGTTTTACAGGAGAGCATAAAAACTAACTATTTCTTTATGAATTACTAGTATAATTTTATATTTTATTGCCCTCTGCTATTTTTCATAGTAGTACACTACTTATAAGTATATATCAAAGATATATCAAATGCAGACTACATAACGTCAAAAATATAATAAAAATTGAAAACTTTTACAAACGATC